CCATAAAGGGTTGCAGTGGTTTCATTAAGCACTACAGAGACGTGGCCCCAAACAGTTGCTTCTGCCACCAGTGTCACCACGAGTGGCACATCTATAATGTACCAGGTACATGGTTAATACACACTCATTCTCAACAGTTTTAAGCTCAGGTACCACTGGACTTTATGAGCCAATGACACAGAGCTGGAAAACGAAGAAAATAGCACCGATTTGCAAAACAGTATTAAGGCCATGAAACTCCAGCAGAAGGGTTGTGCCCTGCTGGAGTTGTCCACACAGAATCCCTTATTCTCGCTCTTAATTCCGTCCCCAAACTGGTCTAATTATTCAGTATCTCAGAAGGTCTTTGTTATCAAGCTGTTTCCACAGAAAGGGGCATGCTGACCAAAACAGTCAATATTGTCTGTCTCTTAACAGAGGACACACCCAACACACATGCCCTCTGGGGAAGGACCCAAAGAAATTCTGTGAAAAGTGAAATTAAATAGATCTATTAAGAAATGCTTAAGGGGGGAAGGTATAGCTCAGTGGTATGCATGAGGTCCTGGGTTCAGTTCCCAGGACTTCCATTAGAAACAAACAAACAAGCAAACAAATCTAGTTAACTCCTCCCCCCACCAAATAAAGAGAGAAATGTTTAATAAAGCAGAGTGACAAAGCAATTAAGAGCCCAATCAGAGCCAGACAGCCTGGGGTCAAACCCCAGCTCTTCCACTTAGCTTCTGTGTGATCTTGGGCAAGTCACTTAACTTCTCTGGGCCAGTAGTTTTCATCTGCAATTTGCAGATCATGATGACAATTACCTGAGAAGGTATAGTTGGCACAGAGCTAAGCACTGTATGTATGTAATAAATATTCATGAATCCAGTAGTGACCTAGCATGAGGTAATGTTTACTGGGTTGTTCCTTTTACTATCTGGGAGAACTCCTACATGATCCTTCAAGACTCAACAAACATATCCCTCCTCCAGGCAACTTTTGTGCCTCTTCTCCAAGACAAAGCCGTAGCACCCCTCTCTGTCCCCCTCCACATCAGCCCTAAGCACATCCTTGCTCTGCCCCAAACAGATCAAGCTCTCTGCTCCATGCCTTTGTCCATGCTGTGCCCCTGCCAGGAACGCTCTTTCCCTAACTCCAGCTCTGTTTTCTATGGTCACCTGCCAGTACCCCCAGAAAATCCCTCATGCCTCTCTGGACCCCGCCAGCCCTGTCCCTTCTTCTGGCCCAGCCTGGCCCCCATGCTCTGTCTTCTCAAGGCCTGAGAGGAGGCTGAGGCTCCTGGGGCCCCCGCCTCACCCAGCATGGGGGTAGGCACAGAGGTAGGCACGAAGCTGACTGAGGGGGACCCCTGCTTTGGCACGTACCTGGGAGACCCCTGGGGGGCCTGAGGCCCTTATGCTGGCTGTGCCTGGCGTCTGCAGGAGCCTGGGTTTCGGTTCAGGGTCTGCACGTCAGCGGGGCGGGGCCGCTGCCCCAGATGGTTCCTGTTTCCTTAAGCAGGTGAGCCCTGGGCGGGGACTAGGACAACCCCCTCCTGCCCCCATCTGTAGTCCAGTCAAGCCACTGAGCTGCATGCAGGTAGCGGGACACCCTTGCTCCACTCAGACCGTGACAAACCTTTATTGAACACCTATAGTATGTCAGATCCTCAGGGGACAGAGAGGTTGACCTGAAAGCCAGGCATAGGCCCTGCCCTCCCAGCACCTATAACCGAATGAGACGTGAAGGGCAGATGCGATGTTGCTGTGTCAAAGTGGACAGCCTGTTGGGCAGGGGGGTGCTGGAGGTGCAAGAAACCCCCAGAGGGGGCCTAACTGATGAGGAGGAAGGGGCACCAGGGGACAGGTTGGAGTCAACTTGATTAGGGGAAGGGAGTTTTGCAGAAAATGTACTCTGGGGGAGGGAATAGCATGAGCAAAAGCCCCGAGGCCTCACTGTGTGCAAAGGGCTGCAGTATGACTTCCTCTGTTGAAAAAAAAATTACGTTTTATGACCGCATTGACATCAAGACCCATGTAGCCCAGGCTGAATTCATTTTATATATTTAACATTATTGTAATTCATTTTTTCCTTCTGATTAAAAAAAAAAAACAGAAAACTAAAGCATTTTGCAGGCCCCAACACACGCACTATGGACCCTGAATGTGGGAACTCCTGCCTAACAGATCAGCTAGCCTCAGATGTGTGCTGGCTGCCTCACCCCTCCCAGCACCCAGGCAAAACCACTTCCTCCTCCCTTTATGGGCAGAAACAGCCCAGATCCTTGTGGCTGAGCTGAAGGCCTCCCGCAGGCCTATCGCCCTGGCCCAGCTGGTCTAGTTAGCCCCACTGCAGGCTCAAGCTGGATGCCCCAACTGCCCCCTGCTCGGTGGTTTTGGGGGCTGGGGGGGTGGACTTGTCCTGGAGTCTGCAGGTCAACTAGGCTCAAGCAGGAAACATGGAACCTGTGCTTCTCACTCACCCTCTACGTGGCCTTGGGTGAGTCACTCAAACTCTCTAGGCCTTAAAAAAAAAAGCCAAAAAAATTTTTAAAATTCTCTAGGCCTCAGTTTCCTCCTCTGTGAAGTGAGCGTGAGACGTGATGATGATCAGGAGAGACGACCTTCGAGTGCAGCATGGCGCTCAGCTAAGAGCGATAATGTTAGGACTCTTCACTGTGACTTAAGCTGATGGCTTTGTGCCTGGCGTAGGGGGAGACGCAAGCTTGGGTGCCAGGTCTCATGAGCTGGGCCACCTTGGCAACTCACTTCACGTCTCTGATCCTCCGTGCCTTTCACGGCCCAATGGATCCAGCCTCCATGAGAGGAGCAATGCCGTTAGGGAGGGGATCAGAGACCGTTTTACTTCGAAAGCCTGGCCACGGGGGATCTCATTCACACAGAGTTCAGTCTACAGAAACAGGGCACATTTCAGTCCACTTCTGGCCCACCCCGCTGAGGCCCCACCACTGAGGGGGCCGCCCTGATTGCCCTGACCTGTTTGGAGGATGTGGTCTTTCACAGACTAATGCCCTCCCTTGAGACTGTCACAACAGAATCACCCCCCACCTCTCGGAGACCAGAATCTTTGAAACTGCGAACAGACATGTGGCCCTCAGAGGAACTTTCCAGAAGGGGACCAGCAGGGAGAGAGTGGGGCTGGTACTCAAGGCTCTGCTCCTCCAAAGTTAGGCCCTTCCCCTACCAAAGTCAGGTCTGGGATCCTCTGAGTGGGACAGTCACTGGCCCCATGTGGGGTGGCCCTCAGGATACGTGGCCACAATGGTGTCTAAGCCCTGGGATACACTAAGGCTGTGGATGTCAGGGGTGGGGAAGTCCTGAGGCTCTGTCAACTCTGGGCTTTATGCAATTTCATGGTTTTCTTGTCGTCCAATGCCTCCATTCTGTTAATTCATTCATCCACTGATTCCACAAACACTGGCTGAGTCCCAACTGCAGGCACCATGCTCGATTCTGGGTATGAAGCAGAAAACAACAACAACAAAACCCAACAGGCACGGTCCCTGCCCTGCTGGTCCTGCTCATGGTCCCCGGGGAGAGATGCCGCACAGGTCCACACGCAGGAGAGCCTGGCGGAAGAGGAAACAGCAAGGGCAGAGGCCCTGGGATAGGAACAAACTTGGCACGCTTGAGAAACAAACAGGCAAGGTGTCCAAGAGGTGGAGACAACCCAAATGTCCATCAGTGGGTGATCTCATAGAAGTTGTGGTCCATCCACACAATGGGATAGTCCTCGGCTGTAAAAAGGGATGGGGCTCCGATACACTACGACACGATGGATGTCGAAAACCTTACGGTAAGTGAAAGAAGCCAGATGAAAAAGGCCATGTTGTGTATGATTCTGTTTACATGAAATGTTTAGAACAGGCAAATCCATAGAGACAGAATAGACTAGTGGCTGCTGGGGGCTGGGGGCGGGGGGAATGGGGAGCGACTGCTAATTGGATAGTGGGTGATAAAAATGTTCAAAAATTGACTGCAGTGAGGGTGGCACGAGGCTGTGAATATCCTAAAAGTTACTGAATTGCACACCCTGGTGGGTGAATTGTATGGTGTGTGAACTGCAGCTCAATAAAGCTATTAAAAAAAAAAAAGCCAAGGTGTCATCTGTCCCTGTACAAGGGGATGGTAGTGAAGGAGCCACCCCATCAAAGTCCTTAGAAACAAGGAAAAGTAGTGACTCTGAGCAAGAGGCTGGGTATGAGGTGGGCCTAAGGAGTTCCAGGACTCCACCTGACCTGGCTGGGGCGGGGGCTGTGGAAATTTGGGGCATTATGGGGCAAACACTTAGAGCTTGAAGTTGTCAGTTATTTGGATGACTTGTTCCCCGTTAGAGACAAGAAGTAAAAAGAGACGTGAGTTTTTCTCTTGGGGCAAAAGACGAATAATGATGCAAATGATAATGAACATGACGATGCTGCTGCTGACGTGACAGCAGCTGGTCTGGGACACACCATCTCACCAGCTCTGCACAGCCATCCTGTGAGGTGGGAACTGGGATCACGCCCATTCTACAGATGAGGGAACTGAGGTTCAGCCCATGGTTGTGCTGTGGGTCTGAAGCAGGATCTCGGGGAGGAGGGGTGCTCCTGAGAGGTGAGGAAGGGGGCTCACAACGGAGCAGTCAACTTGGCAAAATGAGTGCCAGGGGGATGAAGACCAGAGACTCTTGGTGGCATTATGGGAACTGGTGTTGACTGAGTGACTTACGCAGGGGGTGTGGGTGGCGCAGTGAGTGTTTGGCGGGGGACAGAGGAGGAGGGGAGCTGAGAAGCTTATTTTCCCAAGTCAGTCTTTTGATAATGGTGGCATCTTCTCAGAGCTCGGGGGGACCTTCTCCTCTAGCTTGGGGTAACCCACTGCCTCTACTTTGATCTTGTCCAGACTTGAGGCCCCTGTTGGCCTGGGCTGTGTTTTAAATAGTGGGCATCCTGTGACCCCACCGCCCAACATCTGGCCATCTCCATGTACCTACATGGAAAATGTGGACATAAACATCCGTTAACTTTAAAATGAGCTTTAATTTGTTTGTTTTCCTTAAGTGCATTTATCGATGTAAACAGAGCATGTTAAGAGATTCCAGGGGAGAGCAGACTATTGCTGGTATGTTGGTTTTAATTCAAAAAAGAAAGAAAGAAAGAAAGAAAAAAAAACTATGTGCCAACAGCTTGGATGGACAGCAGCTCGTGGGGTGGCGGGAGACAAAAAGAAAAAGAAAGGTTCCTGGGTGACACCCCACTGCCCTGGTTACCTGGGTTCCGACTGCAGTCTCCAAGGGAAGGCGGAGCTGTCAAAACAGAACTGGGCGGCTGCAGTTAGAAACCCACCCGGACTGCTCTGCAGTCAGTCCCTGTGGGCCACCCCACGCTGTCTGCCACGTCCAGCCGGGGGTATGTTCCTGATCACCCAGATTGGCTGTGGGAAATCGAAGACGGAATCGCCTGCTGGCATGACAACCTGGCGAAGTAAAAATCTCTGCTAGAAAGAACATCTGATTTGGAGATGGTGGGATGGCAAAGAGGGGGAGGCTCCCCGACTGCAGGCGGGCTGCGTGTTGACTGCGTTTTGGGGTCACCCGCATGACATGCATGGTGACCCCTCGGTGCTCAGGTGGAGCGCGGAGCAATCTGCTGGCCATGTCTGAGGCCCAGCTGGACCATGGGACCAAAACCTGGCTGTAAACAGGAAAGGCCACTCCATGCTTCTTTCCTCAGGATTTCCTTAATTTGTGCTTCCCTTTGGTTTGACTGTTAAAATGACAGGCGGCGGGGGATAACGGTTTCTGTCACGTGTCCAAAAGCTCAGAGAAGAGGTGAAAGCGGGTGTTGGAGGCGCTGGGCAGGCGCCTCCCGGGCCTGCTGTGAGTCACCTCACTCAGGAAGTGGAGCCGGCACTCCTGGAGCCGTCAGTGGCCTTTGGGAGCCTCCCTCCTGCCGCAGGGGGCGTGGACGGGTTTTCCAGCGGGGCTTTAGCCGTGTCGAGGCCCAGAGATGGAGGCCTGCCATTGCTGGCTGCTACTGACGGCCGCGCCTCCACTCCCTCTCTCTGTCAAGTTATTCGAGGCGTGGACCCATTTGCCGGATGTCGCAGGAAAAATAGCAGATTCTGAAATCATTCCATCTCCGCAGTTGAAAAAGATCAGTTACTAAAATAAACAATTTCTCGATTGTGTTCTGGTGGCCACGGGCCCGGGAGCCGAGGCGCGGCGGGGGGTGTTGTGGGGGAGGGCCCTGGCCGAGTGAGGGGCTCACTCAGGACAGGCACAGTCAGCTCGGCTGAGCGAGGCTCAGAGTAAGGCGGCCTTCCTCACAGAAGAACACATCGGAAAAAGCTGCTCCTCTTCTGCTGGTCTGGTGTGATTTTGACTCCCTGGTTGCTCCCCTGGGGGCTGTTGCCTTCCTGAAATTGCAAGAGGTTTTCCGAGATTATGGCTGAGCATCATGAGTACCAAGTCTCTTAACCAACCAGCCTGCCAACTAATGAACCAACCAACCATCCATCATCCATCCATCCCCTCCCTCGCTCCCTTCCTTCCAACCAGCCAACCACCTATCCATTCCGTCCCAACCAGCTGCCCATCCACCCCCTCCCATCCATCCATCCCGGCTCTTCCAACCAGCAGTCCACCTGTCCATTCCCTTGCATCTAACCACCCGCTTCCTTCACCCATCCATCTATCCAACTGTCCCCTCCAACAGACAACTCATCTTTCACAAACCCAGAGATCTGTTTTTTCATCTGCTACCCCACCCACCACTCCTTCTAACCATCCATTCTCTCAATCACTTATTCACCTACCCATCCACCCCCTTTCCATGCACCTTCTCAGCATCTTTGCAACCACGGATTCACCTATCTCACTCTCCTCTTTCCCTACTTCCTTCTCTGTATTGAGCCACCCTTTCTCCTTTCCATTCATCTACCTACCCATCTATGTTGAGCATGTTATCAGTGAGGCAGCTGAGGGGCAGCAGAAAGGCTCTCTCGGGATTGGAGGGGCTGGGTTGAAAGGTCCCAGTGCCACCCACACCTAGCTGGTCTCCATGCCCCTGTGCCAAGGCTCTGCTCACCATCTCTCCCCACAGTCTGCCTTCCACCCTGCTGCAGGTGACGTAAGCCCTAAACTCAAGATCTGTTGAAAACCCATCACTGCTGCCGCCCAGCATTTGAAGTCTCTGATCTGGCCCCCGCTGACCCTGGGAACTGAGATCCTATCTTCGCCCACGGCACCATGCTTGGAAAGGCTCGGCCCTGTTTCTTGGACTAATTCCTTTTCATCTTCTAGCTCTCAGGTCAGACCTGACTTTATTCAACAGCAACTGTCGACTGTTGGGCGCTGCCATGGGCAGCGTATGCAGTGGCGGACAAGACCAGCTCCCCTGCCTTAGGGAGCTCACATGGTATGTGGGAGATGGAAATCACACAGGGACACAGATCAGCATGAGTCCCTGTAGTGGTGAGTAATGAGAGGGAAGAGGTGGGGCGAGTGGTGGAGGGGTGTTCTGATGGTGATATCTGAGCAGAGGCCTCGTGGAGCAAGGGAGTGAGGCCAGGGACGGTCCAGGGGCTGTGGTCAGCAGAGTAACTGCCCCCAAGGATGTCCATGCCTTCATCCCTGGCACCTGTGAATTGAATCTCTGACATGGCAGGAGGGACTATGCAGATGTGATCAAGATGAGGGGGGAGAGTGTCCTGGATCATTCAGGTGGGTCAGGAAGGAGCGGGGAGGATGGAAGCAGGCTCAGAGAGATGCTGAGAGGCTGGCTGGGAAGATGTAGGAAGGGGTCATGAGGCAAGGAATGCTGTGGCCTCTAGAAGCTTAACCAGGCAAGGAAACGGTCCTGCCCTGGAACCTCCAGCAAGGATGGCAGCCCTGCTGACACCCTGCTCTTGGCCTGGTGAGACCCACTTCCGACTTCTGACCTCCACATTAAGATAAGAAATGTGTATTGTTTAAATGGCTAAGTGTGTTCTGGGAGTTTGTTATGGCGGCCAGAGGAAACAAATGCAAGTGGAGAGCAGCCCAGGTAGAGGGGAAAGAAAAATCCAAACGAACCTGGGGTGTTCAGGGAACAAGCAAAGGCCAGCATGGCGGGGCAAAGGGGAGGACAGAGAAGCAGCAGGTGACAAGATGGAGCAAGTGGCAGCAGGCAGAGCACAAGTGGGGTGGGCCCTGGGGGAGCCTGGCTTTCTGTGAGGCTCTTAAGAGAGGAGACAGAATACAGGGAGGTGGGGAAGGCAGAGCCAGGCACATCAGTGATGTAGGATGGATACAAACTCGCAGCCAGCAGAAACGAAAGTTCTGGAGAGCTAATGCACTGTGTGGTGATTCTAGTCGGTGACATGGACTGTGGCACTTACTGCGCTTCATAGGTACTGTGTCTTCCACAACCTGAAGGTGTGTGGCAGCCCCGTGTTGAGCAAGTCTATTTACTGATGCCATTTTTCCAACTGCATCTGCTTACTTCGTGTCTCTGTGTCACATTTTGGTAATTCACACACTATTTCAAACTTTCCCATTGTATGTGTTATAGTAATCTGTGATCAGTGATCTTTGGTGTTACCATTGCAAAGAGATTATGACTTGCTTAGATGATGGTTAGCATTTGGGGGGGGGACAATAGAGTATCTTTAAATTAAGGTATGCACTTTTTCTTTTTCTTTTTTTTTTTAGATATAATGCTGTTGTGGGTTTAATAGACCACAGTACAGTGTAGACAACTTTTATAGGCCAGGCACTGGGAAACCAGAAAATGCGTGTGACTTGCCTTACTATGATATTCACTTTATTGTGGTGGTCTGGAACCGAACCCACAGTATCTCCAAGGTAGGCTCGTATAAACGTCAAAGCCGCTGAGAGACTAGACCTTAATTGTTCTCAACACGAGTACAAAAGTGATGTTTATGGGACGTGACAGAGGTCTTAGCTAACGCCATGGCGGTAACTGCACTGCAACACACAAATACCAAACCAACATGCTGTACGCCTCAAACTTCCACAATACCGCGTGTCGACTATACTAAAAAAAAGAAGACCCATATAAAATGTATGGGGCTGAAACTCTGAACATAAACAAAGGTGGGAGGAAATGGATGGAATTTAACTGTTGGTGATTTGCCACTGAGGCAACAGAGAAAGAGAAATTGTGAGGATTATAGCTGAGTCAGCGCTTCACCATCCAAGCCTGGGAAGGATACAGCGCATTCTGGAGGTGACCAACAGGCCTCCATCAAAAGCCCAGGCACAGTGTCGCCGTGATGCTCAGGGTAACTCCCAGTGGGTGAAACTGAGTCAGAAGGATTGTTAAGAATTAAAATTCTACTATTATACTGAAGAGGAAAGAATTCTAAGAAAACTACAATTTTAAGAAAAAGTTTTGTAAAATGTCAGCTTATGTGGGCTATTTTCCATTTTGGCTAAAGAACTGCTATTAAATCAGTTGATCACATGCCTTGCAATTCAATTCACAGCATCTTAGAACTATGAAAATAATGCTTGTTTTAAATCAGACGTCAACTACTTGAACGGCGTTTTGTATTATATGCGCAGCCTTGTATGACCAGATGCAGAACAAGTCACAAATGGAGTGCTTCACGCTCTCACATCAGAAAACAGGGAGCATTGCTGGGTGGGAAAAGAGTGGTTGATGGAGCAGAGGCTCTGGAGCAAGACTCACACCAACATTTAGGTGCTAAACACGCCCAAAATATAGCCAAGCATTCAGACTCCACCAAGAAAGCACTAGCCCCGCCGCATGCTGGGGACTGTGAAACTGCTCACGTGGTAAACAAAACAGCCGGAAATGAATGACAGGGCGGGTGGGAAGGGTTTCAGGCCTCAGAGCCCCAGGACCCACCAAAGCTTGTCACAACCTGCAGAATTTGGGGCTGGAAGGAAAAAAAAGGCGATCAACCTGCCAGATTCGTCAGGACGGGAAGCCAGTGGCTGTCAGAGGCCTTGCTGGGGGCCTCAGAGCATGGAATCTTGGCCCCCTTCCCAGCCAGGCCATGCGAGGTCCAGCCAGGCCCTGAGAAGCAGTACTTGCCCAGGGATGCATTACATCACTGAGGGTGATGCCAGCCGGGTCCAACAGGGGTGCACGCAGGGATCTGGGAAGGACACACACTCACCAATTTTTTATCCATTTTTGCTTTGATGTCTCTGGCGAGAGTGAAAAATGCCTGCAGAATAAGCACACAGTCAGTATCCCTGGAGTGGGAAGCAGATGGGGGCCTGCTGGTTCCTGTTCCCCGCTGTGCAGTGGGCATGGCTCAACAGCGGGGCCAGTCGGGGAAAGTTTTAGGACAGAGACCTGGCACAGGTCTCACCTGTCCAGCCCCATCTCCCGCCCCTACTGGGGTACCCTCACCCACCCAGACCACCACTTCCCCTGAGCCAATGACACTGGGAGGTGGGATCACCCTCAACTGGTCAGAGAGGAAACTGAGGCTTGGAGGGGCCAACTGACTTGTTCCAAGGCACCCAGTGGCTATCTCTGTCCCTGACCCCTGTGCTCTGCCGGCCCACTTTGCCCCTCTTCTGAGAGTCAGGGGCAGGGCAGAAACATAAGCGGCTCTTTGGCTAAGCAAGCTTCATTTTGGGTCCTTGTCCAGTAGGAAGGCCTCAAAGGCCTGGCAGGTGGGGTGGAAGGTTCATCTTCCCCAGGTCGGCAAAGGATCAAGCGGGCCTGACCCCGGGCTGTTGCCTCTGTCCCAGTCTCCTGGCCATTTCCTCCCTTCCCTCAACTGGACAGTACTCAGAAACCCGACTCTGACACAACCCTGCCCTGGGCCCCAGAGAGATGAATCGTCCTCAGCATTTCTTCCTGGTCTGGTGAGAGGCAGTCAGCAAACAGCCCTGTGAAGTCTGGCCATGGAGGGTGGCTCAGGATGCTGGGGATGCCCAAAGTGGTGGGCCTAAGGGTCTGGGGGATGGCAGGGGCTTTTGGGGGGAGGGGCGACACAGGCTGGGCCCTGATGGGAAAGGGAGCGTGTGTGTGGGAGGGGACAGGACAATGGAAAAGGCTTAGAGGAGGGTGGCAAAGGTGGCCAGGAATGGCGAGCGGTGGGTGAGGCCCGAGGCACACGCTGCTTGGGGCCAGCTGGGGAGGGCCCTCTGTGCCATGCGTAGGGGCCTGAGGTCGGGAGTGGTGTGGAAGATCTGTTTTGGAAAGATTGCTGGGCGGGAGGTGGGGGGAATGGAGGAGAAGGCAGGTCAGCTGCCGGGCTGGTGTGGCTAGAGAGGAGAGGAAGCCTGGGCCGAGGCTCAGTCAGGGCCCCCTACTCTGCCTGGGCTGTGACTGGGGCCTGTCTGTGTGCATGGTGAGAATGAAAACACCAACCTGGAGCCAGGCCTGGGCACTAGCCAGCTGGGACTCTCTGAGCCTCAGTTTCCCCTCATGCAAAACTGTGCCTGCTCCCAGGGCTGTTCGAGAGCTAGCAAGATGAAGTCCTAGGTCAGAACATGGGGGCGACTCTCCCATGCTGCCTGGGCCTGGCGCGTGGCACTGCCCAGGAAGTGCCTCTCGGCAGGCCGTCAGGAGGGCAGCTGGAGCCTGCACCAGTCCCTGAGGCGGAGCTTCTCTGAACCCCCTGGCCCCGAACCGTGGGCTTGGGACTCACGTTCTCCACGTTGATGTTGGCCTTTGCGCTGGTTTCCATGAACTTGATTCCATAGTCCAGGGCCAGCTGCGAGGGAGGGAGACACACATGAACATCAGCCACCAGGTGTCCCTGACTCCTATGCAGCACCCAGAGTTGGGAACAATGAGGGGTGGGGCCTGCACCCTCTAGCAACCAGTGGAGAGCAGGTGGTGAGTGTTCCTGGCAGGAGGGTGGAGGGGGCCAGGCTCTGTTCTCTGCCCTCTGTGGCCTCAACGGGTCCCACGAAACACTGAGTGGGAGCAGAGCACATCCGAGGAGACTTCACTGCTTTCAGTCTTTAGCCTGAAGCCTGGCTGGGCGAGGGCTTTCCACCTTCTCTTCTCATGGCACACGCCCCACTGGGGCAACCAATTTGCCCAGCAAAGTCCTGTGTCCCGGGACTCCCTCAGACTTGGATGAGACAGGATGGCAGGTCTCCTTACGCTCATAAAGATTATGAGGGAGTCTCCCTAAAGCCCAGCCTCTCCATCCGTGAGCAATCTGGGGGTCCTCTGGGGCAGGGCAGGGCTGACCTGCCCCGTGGCACCCAGCGGCCACCATGCCCACCTTCTCTCCCCGTTCCCTGGAAACTTGTCTCTTGTCGTTCACGTCGCACTTGTTCCCGAGTATCATCTTTTCGACATCTGCGGAGGCGTGCTGCAAGGAGAGGAGCAGACGGGGCAGGTGAGAGGTGAGGTCAGACCGGACAACTTGTAGACCGTCCCCCAAGATCAGAGCGGCGGGTCAGGGCTGCTAGGCACGCCCTTACAGGCGACAAGCTGAAGTTCAGAGAGGCTGAGTGGCCCGTCCTATGTCACACAACCGATGTCAGGGCAGAGTTCAGGGTTCTGGCTGCTACTCTGACCAAGTGCATGCTCTCTGACTGCCAAGGACGGCCTCCCTGCCCGTCCCTGGGCTCCTGGCGGGCTCTGGCTTATGGGAGGCAAGCGAGGCTGGGATTCCCGTCTCTGCTCACCTCCCGTCCTCCCGGGCTCCTCTGCTGGAGGCCCCAGCTGCGGTCCCGGGACCTTCCATCCTGCTCTATCTCACTCTCTCTGGGCTCTGGAAACAGGCTGTGCCTGGGGTAGTCACAGCCTTTGGTCACTGGTCACCACCAGCCTTGGGTGCTTTGCCATCCCCTGGCATTTCCTGAAATCTGCCCTCTGCCTGAAAATGGCTCCCTCCTCCAAACCTCCCCTGCACTCCACCACAGTGGGCCTTGCTTCCCGAAGGACTGGCTCATCGGAAAGGCCCTTCTCACTGTAGCTCAGATCTGCTCTCTGGGAAACATGTCCCACTCCTCCCTAATTTCCTACTGACCAGCAGGCCCTCTTGCCTACTGGCCAGAACAGAGCTTCCACAGAGCCTAGCGTGAGGTGAGCAGCTCCCCTCCTCAGCCCGGGCCCAGCCTCCTGTCAGCAAATGTGGGGTCACCGGGAGGCGGCCCAGTGCAGCTGCTCACAGATGCTGGCTGCGACCTGACCTTTGGCCCTGGCTTCACAGGTGGGTGAAGTTCTCAGACCCGAAGCCCCACCTGGTGAGTCATCCAAAGCCACAGGTGCATCGTCCAGGGAGGCCCTAGGGGCAAGGGGAAGCTCTCTGGAGAGTGGGAAGGGGACGGCACTGGCCCCTGGATGGGGAGGCCAGGCTGGCTGCCTTCTCTTCCCTCCTGGTTCAAGGTCTCCTTTCACAGGCAACTGCAGTTTGAGCATGGGGAGCTCACTCCACCTCACACCCTGCTCTCCTGTAGCTCAAAGTACAACTGACACCTCTCACCACACCCAGCAAATACAAAGGTCAACACCAATTCTAGAACCTTCCTTCTCTAGAAAGCACCAAATGCTCACAGTGACGAAGAGCCCAGATAGATATCCTCCATTCGTGACCTCAATGTCACCCAAACCCAACAACCCAGCCGGGGAAATGGGCTCTCAGGGCTTCTCTGTGACAAGGCCAGGTCACTGATGTGACCTTTCACCCTCAGGCCAGACCCCACCACACCCGTGCTCACAGAGGAGCCTCGCTGGCTCCCTGCGGCCAGTAGGCTAAGTATGGCCACCTGCCTTGGCAGGCAGCGAGGGTTCCCGGCCCCCTCTGACAGTGCTCCCGGCTACAGGGCTCTTGGCAAGTTACCCATAGGTGTCTCTGTGCTCAGTGATCTCACATGTAAACCAGCGGGCTCCGGGGTGAGGACTGGGGAGAGGATGAGTGGGGGCGTTCCTGCAGGTGGCAGGGGCCTGCAAGTCTTACCTCCTCAATGTTCCGAATCCAGTTCCGGATGTTGTCGAAGGACTTCTCGTTGGTGATGTCGTAGACCAGCATGATGCCCTGAGCAGGGGGAGACAGAGACGTGCACTCTGGAGGAGCTGCCAGCTCTCTGGCAGGGAGGCCCCAGCAAGGTGGGGCGGCAGGGACCCCGACAGGACAACCCTCCCCCGGGCCCTTCCTCCTGCTGGGCTCCAGCGCTTGCCTCTCCCTTGGGTCCCAGGCTCTAGCTCTGCTCCTTGGCCACCAATGTGACCCTCCTCCCTGGTGAACAGACCCCACCCCACCGGCGCTTACAGAGGAGGCTTGCTGGCTCCCTGCTGCCGGCAGGAAGAGCGCGGCCCACGCACCCGCAGCCAGCGAGGCCCCGGCGGCCGACCTCCCAGCCTCACATCCTGCAGCTCCCTGTTCCACAGGCGGCGTTCCACAGCTCTGACACCCACTGCGCTCCCCCTCGCACCAACCCTTTCCTGGGCTCGGCCTCTTCCACACCCTCACTCACCGCCCACCCCCGGCCCCTGGCCTGAGTTCCCTCCTGGGCTCGGCCAGCGCCGCCTTCTCTGGTAGCCCCATTGTCACCCCTCGTCTGGTGCCTACCATGTACTTCTCCCTGAAGCCTCACAGGCTGGGTCGGGTGGTCCCACTGTGAGAATGGGGAACCTGAGGCTGGGGGGTCGGGGGCTAGGTCCCTGTGTCCAGTCACCCGAGACAGTAAAGGACACAACTGGGTCTGAGGCCAGGGGGGACAGATCCCATGGGGGAAGACCCACATGCCTTCCAGAGACCCCATCAGAGTGGGGGCTGGCTTCAAACACCAGGGCAGGCAATGCTGAGGCTTCCGGGGTTCCATATCCCATGTGTGAGCACCTGGGAGACGGTCCACAGGTCCTGAAATAGCTGCAGAGTAAATCCGCCTCTGCATGAGCCCACGATCTTGCCAACACCCAAGAGAAAGGCAAATATCCCCATTTGATTCAAGGGGAAACCGAGATGCAGAGAAGTGACCTTTAAGATTTAAGCCCAGCTCTGAAGGAACAGATGACACCGGTTCCCGTTAGGAACCTTCCTGGGTCCTCCTCAGGATCAAGCATGCTCAGGGCCACCCTTCAGTGGTCCCTGGACATCCCCATGGCAAGCCAGCCTGCAGCATTCTCGCAGGTCCCCATGCAGCTCAGCCCCTGGGCTCTGAGGCACGTGGTTCCAGCTGTCTGGCCCGGGGCCCAGCTTACTCCCTTCCCTCCCTCTACCTGCTCCCAGGGCCGAGTCCTCCGTCCACAAGCTCTAGTGATAGCCAAAGCGTCTCCGAGGCCACCTGAATTCGCAGAGTAAGAGCTTAGGCTGTGTGTGATGGGAGATAACCACCAGGGCAGGGGAGTGACCAACCCACAGGCAGGGCAAGCGGGCCACTGCAATTCCAAACCCACACTGTGCCCTTGAGGATATACATGGTGGCCTTACAGCCTGTCACAAATGCCACCTGGGATCCCTCATTCAGTGGTCTCCTAGGGAGACTGAATAGAGATAGCTGACGAGAGAACTCGGAAGAGCTTTCACTGGCTGTGATGTCTGCCACGCCCAGCCAAGGTCAGCCGAGGTACAGATGCTGGTGGGCAGACTCTGTGAGTTGAGCATCACTGGGGCCTCTGCCTAGTGCCCCTTGTCAGGGGCAAGAAAGGCCACAGGGCTGTGAGGCTTTTCTGCCCCTTTATCCAGGGACTGGCCCCTCTGATGGCCCAGGATTCTGCCGCCACCACCACCAGGTTGACACCACGTATGCAAGATTCCAAGGTCCCGGATTATTACCTATGGGGGGCTGGGGGCAGTGGGTAGAGCTATCAGGAAAGAGCAGAAGTCCCTGGAAAACATAGTGTCACTCCATTCTCGGCCCTCCCTGAAGCTCCCCCTGGGCTCCAAGTGACCATTTTCTTACCCGTCTGGGCACAGCTCCCCATATCTACCTGCAAACTCAAAACAGGACCCTGGACATTCGATGTTCCCCAAATTTGGGGAACTAGACGCCAAGGGTCTAGTACCACAAGGACAAAGATGATGACAGGGCTGAACTAATGGCAATCTTTGCACTGTTCTGCACAGTTGCCACCACCCACACAAGGTTGTGAGGGGATGTGACCTCGGGGCTGGGGGTTCCTACCTTAACTGATTTAAATTCCAACAACCATACATGGCTAGCGGCTTCCTTATGCATTAGGCCAGGTCTAGGAGGATGCAATCATCTTGGGGCTGGATAGGGTCTTACGTATGGCTCAGTCCAGACTTGCTGGGGCTGGCTGAGGATGTGGGCACTAGAGAGACACAGCCACTACTGGCCGAGACATCGACCCTCTGTGTGAACTGAAGCAGGGGCTGGAATGGCACTGACCCTCAGTTTCCTCATCTGTAAAATGGGGATAACCATGGAATCCACTCTCAGGAGTTTATGGCCAAGACCTGGGCCCAGTGCCTTCAGCAGGGAAGGGCTGGGTGAAGGGGGTTGGGGGTGATTTTTCAGCCCAGAGAGGGATGGGGTCTACCTGAAGCCACACAGCAGAAGCTCCCCCAGGACCCCAGAGCCCCTGCCCCACCAGAGCACAGCAAGGTGAGGGAAAAATTAGCAAATTAATTTTAATGAGGAGAACTAAGGTTGCAACCCACACGATTGAGTTTCTATTATGTTCAGACACCATGTGGGATGCTCTAAATACTTAATGCCTCTATTCATTTCTGCCGTTCACCAGCAGTTCCTACTGCATACTCAGCGTGGTCCCAGGCATCAGGTGTGTAGCAGGGACACAGCCCTCCTGGAGCTTATGCCTAGTGGAGGAAACAGGTGTCTATGCAGTTGATCGAGGGGGCGTGGCACGTAAGGGATGGGGCATGCTGGGAGCTGAAATTGGGGAGACGGCCATCCACCCTCCTAGCTGCCTGGATGTACCCCTGTTCTCTGTTCCGCTTTCAGAGGGTGACCCAGGGGCTGAGCCAGGTCCTGGGAACCTACCTCCCATTCTTGGCAGTCCCTGGGCACCCTACTCCATTCACACCTCACAGGTGCATGACCTGCTCGGGGACCTTGGGGGCAGGGCCCTGGCCCATTCTGGGGACCCTGTGTGTATTATTCAGGCCTGGCCTGGAGAAGGGGCTCAGTAAAAATGTCTGAGAGATGACAGACGAGTCTTCCTATCACATCACCCGCCTCAGGCCCAGGCAACAAATGTTAATGGCCAACCAGCCCAGAGCAAGTCAGCTCCTGGACGATCTTCCAAGTTTTTGGTAGCAAATTCCAGAGACCGACGGGGGCCACCTGAGTGCTCTTAAGTGTCGGGGCATGTCGGCTCCGATTTCACTGACCTCACCCAGAAGAACCGGCTTCCTGTGTCTTCCTTCATTCCTAGAGAATTAGGTTTCCTTAAACCCTGCATTGTCCCTGAAGCCAGAAGGGGATGTATGGATGAAGAGGTGGAGGTGGGGCACACAGCCTTTTCCCAAAACTAACTCAGAACCAAGGACCCCTGAAGAGCCAGAGCACGGGCTCCTTAGAAACACTCAGATTTTGGTATCCAAGTCAGTGATGTTCATTTTGACTTTAAAAAAAAAAAGACAACCCCCCAAAGCCAATCCATACCATCGCGCCCCTGTAGTAAGCCGTTGTGATCGTCCGAAACCGTTCCTGACCAGCTGTGTCCCTAAAGATGACAAGAAGGGGTGTTAGTGATACAGAATGAGAACAGTCGTCACAGTGAGAACGAGGGGCCTTTACCCATGATGGACGCCCAGCTTTCTCATGGGTCACCTCCTGATTCACTGTCCTGCTGTGGGGCACCCCAATCCCTGCATTATTACAGAGACGGAAACTGAGGCTTGGGCGCGTGTCTGATGTCTCCTGGCTGGGGATGCGGCAGAACCACGAGGTCTCTTCCACACCTTGGCTCCCTGGGAATCTCCCCGGAGTCTCTGGGCCCCGTAAGAGCCAAGGGTGGATGTTATTATTTGTGAAAATCTGGGTCCTCCGGTGTGGGAGGGGCTGGTCAAGTGACATGGAAACACAGCCCTCACCGGTGGGCTGAGCCGGGTGAGATCGGTGGGGCTTGGGAAGCACTTCCACACTCGCCATCTGGGTGGGGGCCAAGGGGAGAGTCCTTCTACCTCAGTAAGGAGGCGACACCTGGTAAGACATGCCCAGCTCTTGGAAGGGAGTGTGTTCAGTTTGGTTTAAAGGTGACTTAACTGATTGATGGTGGAGCCAGGGTAAGACCATGTCTTTTGTCTCTGGGCCCAAGGTTCCTCCTGTGACCCTGCATCACCCTCTGTGCTGGGCTCTGCATATCTGGACTATACAGAAGCCCCTCGTTTGGGGCTCAGTTGACTTTCTGCCGCCAAGAGCAGGTGAAGTCAGTGGTTATGAAGTTATTTTACAGCTGTTTTAGAAGAGTTTTAAGAGAGTCATTGACCCCACTGCGAGTGCTGAGAGCAGAAGCAGGGAGACAGGAGGATAGGAAAGCAAAACTTCTGCCTGCTGGTACAGTGTCACTTTGGACTTGGGCACCGAGGCTGCCAGGGAGCCAACGTGTTGGAAAGAGAGGAACCGCTATGGCTTGGAACTTACAAGGTGGCCAGAGACTGGCTGCCTCCGGAGCTCGGTAGGATCGGTTGGCCACACCCAGATTTCGATTTGAAGTCAGGTTCAGAGGTGGATACCACTGAAGTTGAGGGCCCCCCCACCCCAGGCAGGCAGGCCAAGGCACACACTTTGAGGCTTGAGTTGGAGAGGTGAGCTGCAGGGAGGGAGGCCTCCCCTCCCACTCATGGGTGCTCCCCTGGACCAGAGGGACTGGCTACCCTTCCAAATATGACTTCTCTTACTTCTGCTCGGGGCTTGTGTGTCCCTGCAGGTGACGTGGCTGCAGGGCAGGACCCTCCCACATCTGAGCACAGTGGGCTGCAGACCAGAGCCTATGTCCAGGACGGGGACTCACAAACTCTCTTATTTTATGTGGCGTAAGAAGTCAGCCCTAGGTGAGTGGAATGGAAACGGGTCTTGCCATTGGGCCTAGCCTTGGCTTATTTTCGGTTCTGGGGTTTCAGGTCTGTGTGTTAGGAAGTGAGGCCTGGGCTGCCCCAGGGGAGGAAAGAGGAAGTGATGCCAGGCCTTCGGCAAGCTGATAGGCTCAGGGGGGCTCAGGGGGGCTCAGGGGGGAACTGCCGGGCTGGGGCATCTTGCTACCTCGGCAGCCCTCACCGTGGCCAGGCAGAGGGCTCGCTCCACGATCAGTGGGAGCAGGCCGCTCTGAAGCCCGCATGCTGAGTTAACTGGGACCGGGAGTCCTGTCCCTGAAGGGGCTGACAGACTCTCATCCCCAGCAGCCAGCAGGGCACAGTTCCTGGGGCTTCTGAAGAAAGCCCGATGCGCCTGGGCTGGCCACCAAGGGACGGAGGCTGTGGTCACAGGGAGAGGGGAGGGGTCACTAGGGGCTTCAGGCTCAAAGTACCTGCTGGGGGAGGGGCTGCCAAAGGCAACAGCTCTTACCATATCTGTAGTTTAATTCTCTTGCCATCGAGCTCTATGGTCCGAATTTTAAAGTCAATTCCTGAAAGACAAGGAATAAAAGGAAAAAAGGGGTATCACGGTCAGCCCACTTCTCAAGCTGTGTCTTGGCTGGTGCTGCCAACCCGGGCGGGTGACAACTGCCACGGTTTACGGAGTACCTGTGGGGTGCTGGGCATGTGGGATCTCTGAATCCCTCACATAGGTCTGGAGGCACCTGAGAACTTTCTCCTCTCACTGCAGGGGAGGCTGGGCAAACTCAGAGAGTGCAGACGCCAAAACCTTGTTCTTGTCCCGCAAGCCACACCTGACCCTCCAAGCGCACTGGGCATGGGGCCCGGAGAGGCACCTGATGCAGGCAGGCCTCTAGCATCTGCAAGTGTTGTTCTCTCTCCGGAGGTGGTCCCTACCCTGCCTGCCTGTCGGCCTGGTGAACTTCTCCTCCTTTGAGACCTGCCAGAAGGTCACCTCCCCAAAAGCCATCTGGACCCTGCCCTCCTCCGCTCCACGCTCTTGCTTTAGTCCCCTCTCCCCAGGACCAGGGCGACCTCTCAGCCTCATTGCCTGTTCTCCAGGCTCCCACTGTTGTCCCCTCAATCTCCTTTCCAGCTTCCAAAATGCAACCTTAACCATGTCACCAAGCTAACCTCTGCTCCAGACCTTCTGGTGTGTCCAATGGATGAATGGATAAACAAAATGTGGTCCACCCCTACAATGGAATACTACCCAGTCATAAAGAAGGAGGAAGCTCCGACACACGCTACAACATGGATGAACCTTGAAAATATAACACTGAGTGAGAGAAGCCAGACATGGAAGGTCACACCATATATAATTCTATTCATATGAAATTTCCAGAATAGGCAAATCAGGAGAGACAGAAAGGAGACCAGTGGTTGCCAGAGGGTGTGGGGGAACGAGGAGATTGGTGGGACTGACTCAGGGGACTCTGGGGTCTTTTTGTCACAGTTAAAATGTTCTGGAATTGACATTGGTGATGGTCACAGAGCTCTGTGAATATACTTGAGGCCACTGACTTGTACACTTTAAATGGATGAGCTGAATTATAACTCAACAAAACTCGTAAAAAAAAGACAAACAAACCCAAAACCCAAAACACCTTCCAGCGGCTTCCCACTGCTTCCCCGGCCCAAGAATTAAGTGCAAACAGTGGCCAGCGTGCTCCAAGGCTCTGCCTAACCTGGTCACCTCTCAGAACACATGCCTCCTGCCCTCCTCTCTGGCCACACTGCCCAAGCTTGTCCTGGCCTTGGGGCTTTTCCTGTCCTCCCCTGGAATGTTGCTTCATTCCACAGCCACCTGGCCCCCCTTCCCTTCACTCCGGTCTCTGCTCAGGTCACCTCCTTGAGGGAGTCTTCCTAAGCCTCCTCTCTCCCCTTCTTCTTCATGAACAATCCCTGACACTGGATATGTGTTGATTTGCTCTGTGAACCAAGGAACCAAACTTGCTAACTGGAATGGCCTGCGTGGAGGGGGAGTGGCCAAGCCCAGCTTTCGCCCCAAGGTGTTTGTTCTACATCTCTGCCTCTGAAGCCTGGAGACTGAGGCCTGGCCTGACCCCTCAGAATCCGGGATGGGGATGCTAACTCCATCCTTGCCCACCTCAGCTGTCCTAGGGACCATGGGGAGTAAAAGCCTGCACTTGAATTTCGCCTCCTGGAGCTTATTTTGTCCCCTAGGACATAAGCTCCAGGAGGTCAGGGGCTCATATGCCTTCCTCACAGCTGCATCTCCAGTGACAAAGCATGGCAGGGGCTGCTTGTATTTGCCAGAAGCCCATCACCCAGTCCTGCACACACACCCTGACTACAGGCCCTGGGACAGTCCTGGCCCCTCTGATTCATCCAAGTCATCTCTGCAGCCCCTGCACTGAGGCAGATGCCTGGCACGCAGCAGGCACTAGAGAAAGATGGATGAACCAAAGAGTCAAGAGCAATGAGATCCATGTGGTGCCCCACAGTTTACCAAGCACTTTAGTGTGTCATCCATCTCCCTGCAGGAATGAATGAACAGGGCCCTGACGAGATGGGGGCTGAGCCTGGCTAGGGAGAGCCAACTCCACGAGCCATAGGGCCAAGCTTACACCACAAAATGATCGATGGAGCTTAAGAGAACAGGCTTTGGCAAAACGTAACCTGGGCAGAAAATCAACAGCCACTTAATCCCTTATCTATAAAGAAAATCCAGAGATACCTGCCGTGCTAATACAGAACTGCCTTTATGCATTCGGTTGCGTTTCAGCACTAAGCCTCGCAGTGTCATCTCTTCCTAAAACAGCCCCCGACTCTTGTCACAGATGCATAGGGACTTACGGATTCAAAAGGCATTGTTCAGTCGACAGAGCCCACAGCATCACGGTGTCCTATCCTCCTCCTGGGTTTTATTAACACACCAAGTTTAATTAGAAGTGTAAACTTTATGAGGCCTAAGAGTTAACGAGGCCATAACTTCAAGGTCACAGGGAACTAAACTTTCCTAGAAGACAGAGGTCTGCAGGAAGGCTACAAATGTAATGAGAATACCGGAGGGGGTGGGGAGGGAGGAATCCTGGGTTCAAATGCCACGTCCACCTCCTTAGGTGACCCTGCCCAAGTCGCATCCTTATCTGCAAGTGGAGGTCGGCCACCTCAGAGCCCTCAAGGGCTGGACTGGGTTTTCTGGTCAAGAATTAAAAACCAAACAAGACTCAATGCCCCAATTGATCTCACTGGGAAGTTTCTGCCCCTGGAAAACTGAGGTCTGGGTTGAGAGCGAGCCACAGTCTACGAGGAGTTAACATCTCTTCCTGATTGGTGGGGATGCAAGGGTTATCCCGAAGTTTGACCCTGGAGCTAGGGGAAGGGAGGACTCAGAAACACCTGGGCCCAGGGGAAGGCTGCTATCACTCCAGGGGACATTCTGCTTCCTCTAGACAGCCTCTGGTTGTGGTGACAACCCCCTGTTCATTGTACAGTTCTGATCCTCCACCATCCAGGGCACTGGCCAAGGAAGAGAGAACCACTCCTCAACTGAAGAAACAGGGCTCAGAGAGGTGAAGTGCTCATTCAAGGGCACAGAGAACAGGAAACCAGGCATGATGATTTCCAGTGCAATTCTCTTTACTTTACATCTGGCACTGAAGTGTTTTGCAAAGTGCAGCTCCTGGAGGAGGCAAGAATGGACTCAGCAGCTCATTGTGGGGTTCAGGGAGCCAAGGTACACGGGGTAAAGCAAAGCCCAGGCCCTTGGTCTTTTCCAGCTCCTGGGCTTGGTGACCATTTTCTTGCTTCCCTACTCCAGAGCAAGGCTGCACAGCCCACAGGCTACTCCATTTGATGGATGTTCCTTCCAGGTCAAGCCTTTTCATGTGGTCAATGGCTGTTTTTGTAGTGGTGGCGCTGGGGAAGAAGTCAGCCCCACTTTTGTGGATGGCAGAACTGAGAAGCAACAGGTCAATTCTGCTCAACCACAATGTGGGCTGGCCCTGCAGAAAACGCTGTGCTGCAAAGTGACAGCTGGTGTCCTGGGCCTAGCGATAGGGAAGTCAGGGCTGTCTGTGGCAGTGGCTGATTTTGGTTTCTCACTGAAGCTTTTATCTGACATCTCCTCAGGATGACAGGTCCCAGGGCAGGCAGCTGTCACTTGTCATTGCTGTCACCCTTGGGTTGGGATGGAAGGCCGGACAGAGAAAGTCTTTAGACTCCCTCTCACCATTCCTTCTAGCAATAATTCCTCAATGGGGGATAAAGGGTCAGAGAGAGGAGTGCAACCCCTGAATATTCGAGAGGAAAGAGCAGGAGAGGTCTAGGTTGGATTCCTAGCTCTGAGGTGGATCAGCTGTGCTTGTCCTGGGGGTGAGTGCGCACATCTCTCTGGGATGGTTGAACCCTGAGTTCTAGGGTCAGACACACCCAGGTACAAATGGCATCCTTGCCACCTGTAGACCGGGTGACCTTGGGAAAGTTCAGTGTCCTCCCTGAGCCTCAAATTCCTCATCTGTGGCATGAACTTGTAACAGCACCTAACACAGAGAACTGGCAAGTGTGATAAACCACATAAGGCGCCTGGCACACAGTAAATGCTCAATAACGTCAGATGTCACTTGTCACTGTCCTTCCCCATGGCCAACTCCTCATGCCTCAGTTTCCACTTCTGTGAGACAAGGACGCCAAGCAATTGCTTGGAGAGCTGCTGCGAGGACAGAGCTAGATGATGGGTGCCAAGACTCTATACAGGACATATACTCTAACGAGCAGGCTAAGGGTTGGGGCCTCACTCTCCCCATCTGCAAAATGGGCGCCTGGTCCCGCCACCATGGCCCAGGAAACCCCGAACGGCGGTAGAGGCGACTTCTCTTTTTCCTTCTGGGCCCCTTGACCCTCTCAGATCCCTAGTCCATCCGGCCCAGGCCGCTCCCTCAGCCCCAGCCCCTCAGGGGCGCGCCCGGCCCGGGCCTCCCGCGCCCCGGGCCGTTCCCCGGCCCCAGTACCTATGGTGGAGATGAAAGTGGAGTTGAAGGCGTCCTCGGAGAAGCGGAACAGGACACAGGTCTTCCCCACCCCCGAGTCCCCGATCAGCAGCAGCTTGAACAGGTAATCGTAGGTCTTCGCCATATTACACTCTCTCCCCGACGGGAAGTGCGCCCAGCGCCTCGCCACTGGCCGCTGGCCACGTCCATCACGCCGATCCAGCCCCCCATTGGCTCCCGGCCCAACGCGCGTCACCGCGGCCGACGCCCGCCCCTGCGCCCCGCCCGCCTCGGGGAGACGTGGGGAAGAGGTGAGCCGGGCACGGAGCCGGAAGAGGCCCTAGCGCGTCGCTCATTGGTCGGCGCTTAGGATAGGGCGGACTGCCATTGGCCATCCGGGAGGAATCGAGGGGCTTCAAAAGGGGATAGAGCGGGGGCGTGGCATCCCGTGTCCCCGCCTTTTCCTTCCCCGACTCTGGGGTGGCCCCGCCCCCGACGGGAGGGGGAGGGCGAGGAACTTGCCAACGGCTCCGCGCGCCCTCAACTTGGGGGCGGGGTCTGGGAACCACGCGCAGGCGCGCCAGGAAGACCGTTGGCACTAGCGGAGGGCGCACGCGCGTGGGGTCTCAGGCGCCCGCCTTCCAAGGTCCGCGGAGCCTCAGTTGACGCTGAGACTAGCGCGGGAAGGCTGTGTGCCCGTGGTGGTGTGGTTTGGACGCCTTTCCGTCAGGCCAGGGGGAACCCAAGAGAAAACGAGTAGGGACGGCGTCATAGTCCAAGCGAGGACCCCTCGAGACGTATTTCGGACCCTCAGCGCTGGCCAGGGGACCCACCTAGAGATACCCAGGCCTCTGCCACCAGTTTACGCCCTGAGGCCCGCAGGACTTGTCAGGACGCGCCCTTGAACCCTACTTAGAAGTTGTCCAGTTCTTTTCCTCTAGAGCCTCGCTCCATTAAGGCGCTCTCGGGGGACCTCGGAACCCGCCGAGGGAGTTAGGGTAGTAAGAATTACAGGGAATAATTTGGGTGTTGGTTCTGTGCCTGCCAGTGTTGCCAGCACTTACAAAAAGTATATAAAATACATTACCCCCACCCCAACCCACAGAGGTAGGTATTACTGTGTTCCACCCGCCCCACCGTTTTATGGTGAGAAAAGCGAGGCCAGAGAGGTTAAGCGACTTTCCTAGGCTCTTAACCAGGTAATTTGGTTTTCGATCTCAAAGCGACCAGCTTCAGAGGCTAAGGTCTTGACCACTATGGTTTCCTGCATCGCAGTGATGAGCCACACCGTGTGGCTTCATTGCTATATATCACTCTGGGGTATCAGGCCTCCAGGCTTAGCCCAAAGATCTTACAAAAGATGGCTCCTGTCTCTCCACATTTGTGTTCACAAATGTGGATGAACTGGCCCCAGTTTGGGGGAAGGAGACTATTACAGAGTGATTCTGAGTAGAAACTTATTAGAGATTTTATATTTTTTAGTAGATTTTCTGGTAGAAGGAACCCGCACAATGAAATGATATGGTTTGAAAAAACAACACTGATGCACATTCTTCTGCTCATCTGGCTCTGGTTAGGAAAAGCTCCATCCAGAGCCACTGACCACTTGGTTGCCCTCATCCTCTGTGGGATTTGATACTATTGACCACCTTCTCTGTCAATTCTTTCTTGGTACTCTTCCCATCTTATTTGCCTGTTATATTACCTATGCCTTCCCTTCTCTGGGCACTGCTCAGATTCCACTGCATTGAGTGGGGGGGGGCGGGGTTGTCCCTTACATATTGGTGTTCCTTATGGATCTTTCTCTCTTTGTTCTTGCTTTTGGGGTGATTATATTCACTCCTATGGCTTCTACTATCTCCATGTTGGTGAGTCTCAATTCTCAAGAGACCCCATTGCCCACCCACCACTCCATGCCCCAACTGCTTTCCGGGCATCTGCCTTTCGATCTGTCAGACACTTCGTTATGTCCACAACTGAACCGTCATCTTCCACTCGCACTAGCTTGTCTTGAACCACCTTCTGGGTGAAACCTAAGTCATCTTTGACAGTTTTCTTTCATCCTTCGCATCCTGGTATTTAAGTAGGTTCTAAATAGCTCTTGAATCTTGCTGTTCTGTTTCTGTTGCACGTTAGATCATCACATCTCTCCACTGGTCTCCCTGATCATTCTCTAATCTGGATTCCACCCTGCAGTGTGCTCAGTCTAAAATATTTATCCAGTATCCACCCATGGTCTATTGGCAGGATAAAGTCCTCATCCCATGTCCTACCCACACTTCATGGGATTGGGAACTCCCCAAGAGCTGAGACAGGTCAGTCTAACAAACATTAAATACTTAAGTGCTGAGGCACAAGGATGCCTAAAACAGTATACTGAGTTTAGATTACAGCCGAAGGAGGTGGGAAGGAGGGAGGGGAGGAATTTCAATCTAGCAGTGGTAGGGCCCTTAAGAGGAGGGGATAGACTTTATCCATTGACATTCCCTGCATCTACCATATAAACAAGCTGTGTCAGCTAAATGTTGAATTAAAATGAAAGAAATGTTTTAAATTATACTTGGTAACAAAATTATTGCCTATTACGTTCATGTTTTACAGGCTTTCATTTCTCTTTGATTCCCTAACCTCCTTCCCCAAGAGCAGATCTTAAGGCAAATATCAAAGCAGTTTGGGTAATGAAACTGCAGTCATCTTCGACCGTTTCTTTAAATTCCTGCCATCCAATAAACTAAGTCTTGGGATTACTTCCTTCAGTTCACTTCTTCCTTCTCATTCCAGTATGGCAATCACTATCCTGGGTTAACTGAAGTATCTTCCTGGCTGAGCTGCCTGCCTCTGGTCTACCTCCACTCTAGTCCTTCCTAAAAATGAATGCCAAGTGGATTTTCCTAATTTATTTCTTCTATTTGTTGATCAATGGCTCTCCACCCTTGACCAAATCAAGTTCAGGTTCTAATCAGTGTGAACCCAGCCGACCTTCCAGCTTTCCTACTTCTTTCCTTTATAAAAGCAACACAGAGAAAACTACCCAGGCAGGCCTTGTGCTTTCCTGACTCAAGCAACAGGGACCATCTTCCCTGCTACCTTCTCTATTAAAATCTTACTCATTCTTTCACAATCTGGCTCAGGCAAGACGGGATAACAAAGGACAGGAGGTTTGAGTAACCAAGGGAAATAGCTCTCACCTGTAACACAGAGATCACAATCCTTATACCGTGAGTCACAGGATACAGCAAATACGTAAATGTGCTAAGTTCTTGGCACAGTTCTCTCTCCTTTCTATCCCGTTCACATTTGTTGAACCAAAATGCTGTCTGTGTCCCCACACATTCTGAAATTCACACCGATCGTAGTTTCTGTAAAAATTTATTTGACCAAAATGTAGAAAAAGTGATACTATTACATATGATACAGTTGCAAGAATTTAAATGAAAAGTGTGGGTTTTATTCAATTGCACAATTTGCTAGTGTATCTCCCGGGTAGTGTGATGCTTAATAAATAGGAGTGAGGGGCAGAGGATTTGGATAAGCTGGAAGCAGGGTGATTTTTAGTCAGAATTGTAAACTTGAGTTGGCCCCCCACACTGCTGGGGAATGTGGAATGTTTCAGCTCTGAGATGTTAACTGAGAAAGCAGAAATATAACAAAGCCAAAATGTGCAGCCTTGACCACAACATACTCCATATCCAGTTTAATCAGGAGTTTCTTGGTCTTTTATGAACTTGGGTCCTGAAGAAGGTGTTAAAATTCTAGGTAAGTAATTTCCAATTTGCCATTCCCTGGAGTATAGAGGAGATGAAGTTAGGCCAATTATTTTTCAATCTCTACTTTGCTGTGAGAGAGGCCCACTCCACCCAGTTTTTGTTGATAGAAAACAGCCTCACTCAATTATTGACGGCTAGCAGTCTTTTTGATATGGCTCCTCAGAATAGGACTGAATTCTACAATATGCATTCCTGCTGAGTGGATGGTCTCATATCAGAGCAGATAAACAGGGGTCGTTACTGGAGCAGGACATTAGCTCCTCAGAGACCCACTTTAGAACAAAAGAAACACACAGGGAGCATAGTATTAAGGATCCACCCGGAAAATAGCTGGGCAATCATTTCGACTCTTTCCCAAGCATTCTCATGCCAACTGCTCAGAGGACGTTTGTTCTGCACGAGGGAGTGTGGAAAGAGCTGGGACGACTAGGTGAATCTGTGTGGTCTACGACTTCCCACAGTATACCCCAGCCCCCGCCTTCTTTTGCTTTGCATGGAAAATCCCCGCCCATTTCAATGTGATGGTCCCTGGCCTCCTGTAGTGTGACCAACAGTGGATATTCTTCAATTTTTCAAATTGACCCAAGACTAGACATTGGAATCTGTGTTTTGAAAGCGTGGGGTTATCTATTCTCCTGGGAATCGAATGCCCGCAGTCTTAAGAGAGTATGCTCAATATGAAATACCCTGCCTACCTTAGGAATAAATGCAGTTTAAGGATAAAAATAGAGCTGAAAAAGCTGGTGCCCTTTGGGGGGGAAAAAAAGGGAAGGGATAGATTTAACTGGTGCACAAAGCGTCTCTGATACAAAATATTTGGTCAACGTATTCATTTCCAGCAAAGCGAAGAGGCAATAACAAAAGAAACTTCTACAAGAGAAGAGAAAGACACGGAGCTCTGGAGTTTCTGTTGGACCGAGACTCTTCTGTTTTGGTTATATACAGTTTAGTTCATTTAGTGTCTGATCCAGTGTCTGATGTAAGCCCACGTTCTCTTCTTTGGCCTGGGCAAGTTTTTCTGGTGAGAGTTAAGAATGGGGGAAAAGTTAGTTAATAAGCATCTTTGTTAAAGGAGAAAAAAGATTTCTAAAATCCACACTGCCACAGTGGAAGAGCAGAGAAAATACTCTGCATTTTAATTATAGCAGAACACCATGGACTAACATAGACTAAGTACCAAATATGGGAGTCAGGATTGCAAAATAAAATACAGCCATATCAAATTGCCAATAAACAACAAATACATTTTTTTAGCATAAGTGTATCCCAAATGTTGCTAGAGATATATCAAAAATTTATTCCTTGCCCATCTGGAAATCCAATGTAACTGGGTGTTCTGTATTTTAATATGCTGAATCTGGCAATCCTTGAGTTAGAACACCTGGATTGAAGCCCCCGTTGTGTCAGTGAAGTAAGCCATTTAAACTTGCTAGGTCTCAGTTTCCCTGTCTGCCAAATGGGGATAATACCAATATGTGGTACAGGGGTCATGATGAAGAACCAACCAATGAGAAATGGTTCAGAACCTATGAAATGCTACAAAGACATAAGATTTTAGTCTGAGACATGGATGACCTAATACATTTTCTCCACAGGGCCGGCTAATTAGTCCTTGAGCTTATAATAGGAAAATACCATCCTGTAACTCATCTTTCCTTTGGAGCTTCTGGGAAAAGCTGTTTAATTTCAGGCAGAATTGTGTTATTGTGTCTGTGTGTCCACAGGAAGGTAGTAAAACACGAGGTAAACGCAATGTGATTGAAATTTAAGCCAGATTACAGGTATGTTCTTAAATGACTAAACTGATGAAACAAATGGGAAAAAAACAAAAAACACGAAAACCCAAGATGTCATTTAGATCTATGCATGACAGAGCACGAGGGAGAACTGGTTTGCAACGAGTGATGACTGATAGGGGACTAGGCCAAGACTCATTAAAATACCGGAGGAAAAGCAAAATGCCTCATAAAATGTGATACGATCAGCTTGGAAATTTTCAGCAAGAAAAAAAAACTGCAAAAGATGGCAGCCTTTCAACCACAACTACTGAAACTTTCATTTGATGTGGCACTTAAAAAAAAAAAATCTAGCAACTACAATCTGGGAGGATTCCGTCAGGGAACAGTGACACGGGCCTGTCCAGTCTGGATTAACAGAGTAACTGAGAGCCTACTACATGCAAACCAGTTTCTCCATGATCTCATTTCTTCCTCTACAACTGAGCTACCACTTTCATTTTGCAAAAAAGCTAAGCAGCTTGTTCAAGGTGGCACAGCCGAAATGGTAGAGCTGGGATTCAAACCCAGGTCTCCCAACTACACATCCTGACCTCACTTCACCTTGCCACTTGGGTTCCCGGGCATCTACTTTGTTATTAGGTCCGAGATAAAATAAATTTCCCCTGAAGTGTTAATTGCCCTTGAGAAGTGTGATAGGCCCACACACTGTCAATAGGTAAGTCCCACTTCGGTGCTTAGTTAGGCAGAATGACTGGATAGGCAGGGCTGCAGATATTTCAAAGGGTGGAGGCTGCCAGTGTCTGGAAAAACCCCAGAAACAAATATGCAGAGAGAGCAAACAAAAACCACCCATCCCTACACAGTGTAATCTTTCCAGGGGCATATGTATGGCAGTATGGGAGGGGAGGGGTTTATGCAGAGTTCAGGGTGGATGGCAGGAAGAGAGAAAGGTTGGGGGTGGAAGGGCGTGGCTAGTTTAGGGAAGACATATTTTGGAGGAATGACTATAAAGAACTGTGACACAGGTCCCCACCTGAATAAAAAATTACCCAATGAGGAATACCAAGCTGTAGTGACCAACAATTAATGATCTAAGTGGAGGTTTTCATGCCATTTTCAGGTTCAAGGGGCGGTCTGGAAGACGGCTTGGACTTCAAAATGTGTGTTACTGGGACAGTCTGAGGTGGTGGAGGTGGGGTGCAGGGGAGATCCAGATAGACCGTTTGAAATTTGGATTCTCTCGGGAAAACGGATGAACTTTCGGTCACTACAGGTGTGACCTTTTAACACCCACACGTGAACTTTATGAGCTCTTATTAAACCAGAGTTTCTGGTTCTGGTTAACTCAAGTATGAGGGGAGACAGATATTAGCATCTCAGGCAGCTCAGTCTCGAACTTGAAAAAAATTCACCTCCCTTCCTTTGGCTTTCCGGCAGCTTCCATTCCCTCTCCCTGCTAATGGGGATGCCCTTTGATTCCTTGCATAGTTGTTGTCGAAGGGCAGGGTATAGAGGTGAACTTCACTGGTGAACTTCCTCCCAGGACTGGGAACTGGAGAGATGCTCCACGAACAGTGAAGACATAGGGAACCCCAGGCACCATTCCGAGCGTAACACAGAGAAACGAGAAGAGGATGGCTAAGGAGACCGAAACACCACTGCTGCTGTTTGAGTCTGGAGATGAAGCCCCACTTAAGGGTAGCATCTTTTTAGAGAAGCCTGCTAGTTTTTACAAGTTATGCTGACTCTATTAAGCTGCTTTAAGAGGTTGGATGAGTTGCCATTCAAAACAATTTCTATTTAAGGAAAAACTGCTATTAGCATGCAGAAGCAGTTCGTGAATACATTCGAGAGCTCATGCCAAACTGGCTTTTGTTTTCACATTGTCAGAAAAGAATCCTGTGGGCAAAATTTTTCTGTTTTGAAATGTGCTCTTCGTTGAAACCACTCACTCTCGGTTGCAGCCACGGTCAAGGGCATCACAGTGATGGCTCAAAAGCGGCAAATGGTGAAAATGAAAATGAGAGGGCTTGAAGAGGACCGCCTGTCTTTATTTCGGTCACCCATCACAGATACAGCAGGAGAAGGCTTGAAAGATCCAATTAGGAGGCAGGAAACTGGAGCTTCTAGAAGCCCAAGAGAATGCTAGTACCACAGTGAGAAGGTGGACCCCCAGTATTGCTAGGACAGAGGGGTGGCACCCCAGCTGCCTCTTAGAGAGAGGTCATGTCGTTGAGCGCATGGTCCAGCTCCTCGCTGATGGCTTTGCACTTGAGCTTCTGAGTGTATAGCTCGTCTAGAGGGTGGAGGTCCCCAGGGAGACAGTTTGGAACAGGTATAGGGGACAGAACACAAATGGAGCGACCACACATGAGCAATGAGAGGAAGAAAAAGAAAAATGAGCAAACAAATCATGAACTAGGAGAAAGCTGTGTCCTATGGAAAACAAATGAGAAAACCAAAGACCTATGGAGTGATTTCTAAGTGGCGTGAAGTTCTGTGGGGAATTAGCCACAATGAACCTCTAAGAAAGTGGTGACTAGAAACGGACAGAGCTTCTCCCTATACCAACCTCCTGCCCCAGGTTATTTCTGACTTTCAGTGATGTCATCCTGTCCAAAGGTTACGCTTTGGAATGTGGCATTTTCCCTTATATGGAAACCTCACTTCCCAAACCAAACACTGGGACACATGGTTTGAGGACTGAGTTTTGTACCCTTTCTGGGTGGGACAGGCAGTATGGGAGATTTCCTTTGAATCCCAAGATTCTGGAATTTCTGAGTTATTTCATGAAGAACACGGGACAGAATTTTTTGGAAAGATGGAACTCTTCAAGGAGTTCTGGGCTACGTAGGCCCCAGACTCTCAGACCAGAGTCCTTGTTCAGGTCTCATCGGTATCTCTATTTCCATTTTCTCACACTGTGATAAGCTTTTCACTCTCTGGGAGAGAGCTGTAAAAAATGCAAGGCATTAAAAAAATGCAAGGCATCTTAGAAATGAGCAAATTGAAGGAAATTCTAAAGACTCAAAAAAAGGAAAAAAGCAGCCCTATTTTGGGGTCTGTGTGCTCACACGTGGAGCTAATTACACAGAAATACTTTGGTTCCTGAAGTATGGCAACCTTAGTCTGAATTTGTTTTGCACTGTCCCATTCAGGGCTCCAGACTTCCAGATGTGACATCACTCTGCACGTTTATTATCCTAAGGCGAACGAAGCCCAGCTCAGCCCTTCCGCAAACTGCCCCAGCTCTCTGTGGATGTGTCACGTAGTGGGAGGCAGAGCAAACATAATTAGAAGGCCATTTCCTACCTTCCAGGTCATCAATTGTCTTTTCCAGTTTTGCAACTGTTCTCTCTGCAAATTCCGCACGGGTCTCAGCCTAGGGCAGAGGCAAGGAGTCACTGTGACTGCTTCCAGACCAGCCCCCAGGAGAAACCTCAACTGGCTGGGTGTGACCACACTCACCTCTTTCAGTTTGTCAGACAGAAGTTTAATTTCTTCTTCATATTTATCCTCCTTTTCAGAATACTGTGGGAGAAACCAAAACATTGCTTTTAAAAAAGGAGGGGTGGGGGCAGGGTATAGCTCAGCGGTAGAGTGTATGCTTAGCATGCACAATGTCCTGGGCTCAATCCCTAGGACCGCCATCAAAATAAATAAACCTAATTATCCTCCTCCCCCCCAAACAAACCAACAGAAAAACCACCCAAACAAACAATGGGGATGGATACAGTTCAGCAGTAGAGCACATGCTTAGCATGCATGAGGTCCTGAGTTCAATTCCTGGTAACTCCGTTAAACAAATTAAATAAAAAGGAGGGAGGGTGGGGCAAAGCATAAAAGAATGCATGTTTCCTGTTCCTTGGAGAAAAGGGTGTGCCCAAAGCTGTGAACACTCCTTAGAAGCAAAGTAGAGACGGGCACCTTTCCAGGCAGAAGAAATGTGTGGGAAACTCAGAGACTCTAGGAGTGAGTTCCCTGAGATGGTACTGAGATCTCAAGGCCTGAGCTGATAATCGGAGATACAAGTGTGATGAAGATGGAGCAGGTAACTGAATGGAAACATGCTACTACAGCCCCCCGCAGTGGCTGGCGTAACCTGTGTTTCCAATCCCACTTCCCACCAGCTTCCCCAAGCTGCCACTTGCTTCCTGAACCCATTCTGTGTACTCTCCAGTCTCCCAGCCTTTGACTATGACTGCTCCCCCGGCCCGCCTCCATCTTCCATTTCCCCTTACTACTTGTCACAAATTCTATTTGTCTTTCAAGGCTCAACTCCCACGAGCCTTGGCTAACCTTCAGTAACTGCTTGCTACACTGCTATAATCATCAATCCCATTTTACAGATAAGTAAAGCGTCACAAAGAGGTTATGTGATTTGTCTAAGGTCACAAGGCTATGAAATGACTAAGCCAGGACTGGAACCAGACTCTGGAACTTGAGCTCTGGGCAGCATCACTCTCTCTAGTCAACATCACCTCCTTGTGACACCTTTCCTAACTTCCCAAAGTCCCTATTGAAGTCTCAGAGCCTGTGGTTACTCTGTCAATCCCTCTGCTCAATCAGACTGTGAGCTCTTCAGAGCAGAAGCCATGACCGTAGCATCTAACCTCAGGACCAGGGCAGCATCTATGGCATACACACGTGGACTGCATTTATTCAACTCTCCCACCATGAAATATATGCCAGGACCAGACTGGTACTAATGACCCAGCTCTAAACAAGACAGATACAGTTTCTGTTCTTAAAACTTCCAATCATGCAACTCATTAGGATACATGTGATCAACCAGCATGTTAAGATAAGATGTAGCTGGGGGTATGCAGCTGAGAAACACCTAACCTAGATGAGCCACTGGGGAGGGCCTCCTACACGGAGACCTAAAGAATGGATGGGGGTTACCAAGCAAAGGGAGGGCCATCCCAGGTGGAGTGGACGGCAGGTTCAAAGCACCAGAGGCGATGAGAGAACACAGAATGTTTCTGCGCGTGAAAGTTCAATGCAACTGGAGGGGAGCAGGAAGAAGCGTGAGGATGGAAACTCAGCAGCGGTGGGGGGTGTCAGTCCATGGAATGACTGCTTTGGGTTTGGGAATGACTGTTTCAACCCAACAAGCTCAAGTGCACCTCTGATTGCTGCCCGACTTTCTAGAAAGTGTTTCTGGAGGAACCAGGGATTCAATTGAGCGTGAGGCTCTGTAGTTACACGATTATGCTCAGATTTCCTTAAGAGGAGTCTGACTTGGTACCAATCTCATTTTCCATCTCACCTTCATAGGAGGTGGAGAGAAAAGATGGTGCGAAGACCCCATGAAAGAGGGAAATCCAGCCTCCGGACACCTCTTTCTGGAGGGAAAAAAACCTAGCCACTGGGCACCAAAGCTACCATTAGCAAATACACGTCAGACCCCTGAGACCCCGGCATGCTCCTGTGTGTCCCTGTGGGGAAGAAAAGAAAAAAGTCCGGCAAATCACCCTCCAGCTCAGGCCAACCACCAACCTTTTCAGAAGCAGCCTCTAGTGACTTCAGGTTGTTAGTGACATTCTTGAGTTCTTCTTCCAGGTCCCCACATTTTCTGCACAAAGACAAAAGGATTTTTGGGTCTTATCTTCCCCGGCGGCAGGCAATTCCCCTAAAAGAAGTTTTCAAAAGGAGGAATCCACGCTGCCAGGGGCCCCCAGAAGGAATGTGGGGAAAAAATGTTAATGGCTTTCTCTGAGACATGGTGCTGCGTACTTATCAAAACCCCATCATGCTGGGCAAAGGCGCGGCCGGCCAAGGAGTATCTGGAAGGTTTGTAAAGCTCTCCTGGGCTCCTGCCAAGTCTGAGGCAACAGGGACTTGTGAAATCTCTGATTGATGAGGCTGACTAGGAAGGCTGTTTCAGTGTGAGATGGAGTGCCGGAGGCTGGCAGACAGCAATTGGAGTTTACACCGGATACTCCAGGAAGTAAGCTTGGAATGGATTTTCGAAACCAGATCTTTCTCAGCACTGTGGGATGCTCCAGGGGGCTGGATTCCTCACCCAAGTCCAAGGGGAGAGGCTTTTTGTTTCTTTGCTGGAGCTTGTGGGGATTCTGGTGGTCAAGCTTCTCACTTTACCCCCCAGGAATGTGTCGCAGCTAAACAGTGACATCAAAGCACAAGGAATTTAAACGCTGCCTTCCGTAGGTCCGTGTTCTCATAAAAAGGCACAGCCTCCTGAGATGTCTTCTAGGAAAATGGGACTTCTGGGCTTCTCTGCCACTGCCTGGCTCACTCACATTTCTCAATACCTTGTGGGAAGAGTCATCACGTGGGCAGCACTTCCCCGGGCAGGAAGAACAAACAGTGGCCATCACTCTTTGTCTGCCGTGGAGGCCAAGAGGAGGGACAGAGCAATGAGTCCCAGATGCTCGTCCACTTGACCAGAGGCCCTGGTCGGTGTCCAATCCCCGCACAACCACCTCCCCACCGGCTCTGCCCCACGGAGTGGAGCTGGGTGCCACTCAGTCCAGCAGTCACTCACAGTTCAGACACCTCGGCACGCTCCTCCGCCCTCTCCAGCTCGCCCTCCAGGATGACCAACTTACGAGCTACCTGCGGAGACAGAAAGGATCAACCCAGACTGACCCTCCATTGCCCCACCTAGTAGGATGCCCTGCCCCTGCAGACAGCCAGGCTGCGCCCAGACCATCTGCAGCCGAGGGCTCTCTGCTGCTGCTTCGACTCTGACCATCCTGGAGAAAATCCAAAGTCTCTCCCTCAGGCCCCAGGAGTGAGGCAGACAGGAAGGGCAGGAAGAGATGAGACCACGGGGGCAGACAGAAGAGCAACTATGCACTTTCGTGGTCTAAAGACCCAGCACTGGGGACCACAAGTCCCCATCGGAGCCCAGCAGCAGGGCCAAAAGGGATCTGATCACTTGGTTTCCCCACTAAGTTAGACAAGTGTCACAGAATTTCCCTGGGCTTGTGGTATCGTGGAAGATAGAGTTTCCCAGCCTGAGTGGCTGTCTCAGGCAAAGCAGATGTGGACACAGGAGGACAGCTGAGCTAACCAAGGGCTTCCTTGAGGCGGCACCAGGCTTCTCCCTATCACAGATCCATTTCCTCCCTGCTTCCTGCCGCTGCTCTCGGCCAGCCCCGCTCCCTCCCCCACTCACCTCCTCGTATTTGCGGTCGGCCTCCTCAGCAATGTGCTTGGCCTCTTTGAGCTGCATCTCCTGAATCTCCATCTTCTCCTCATCTTTCATGGCCCGATTTTCTATCACCTTCATTCCTCTGCAAGGAGCAAACCTCGTCATTCCCTCCACACGCATCACAGCCTCATCACACACTTCCCCACACCTGCGCATCTCAACGCTTCTCTGACAGCCACTAAAAACCATACTCCAGGGGGGAGGGTGTAGCTCACCTGTAGAGTGTGTGCTTAGTGTGTGCAAGGTTCTGGGTTCAACCCCCAGTACCTCCATTAAAAAAAAAAAGAGAAAAGAAATAAATAAACCTAATTACCCCCCAGCCAAAAGAAATTAGAATATATAAATAAATCTAATTACCCCCCAAAAGAACCATATTCCAAGAAACTACAGCTGCTTTTACTCAATTCATTTTTAGTGAGCACCAGGCACTATTCTAAGAGCCTTAAAATTCACAACTCACCCCCCACAGAAATAGACACATTATTCCCATTTTACAGAGGAAGAAACTGAGGCATAGGGAGGCTCAGTGACTTGCTCCAGAATCCATGCTCCCATCCTAGAGTCTCACTAACCAATAACCAGGTGGACTTGTACACCAACAGTTAGCACCGAGGGATCAGAGGTCTGGGCCAGCTTGGCTGTGGGAGTGAAGAATTCCGCTGCAGTGAGGGAGGATGTGTGTATATGTGTGTGTGTTTCACGAGAGGCCTTCCAGAAGAGTCCACAAGTGAACAACGAGAGGAAAGTTATTCTTCAGTGAGTCGGAACTGTACAAAAAAGCTCCAGAAAAATGAAAGAATATGGCAGGGAGGTCAGGGGGGCTGGATCCCAGGCTGCACGCTTGAATGACATGCTAAGGATTTTATGCCCAGGTGACAGGGAACCACAGAGGGGTTTCAAAAATAGAAGTGAGTGGAAACCAGAATGATGGATGGAGTGAGAAGACCAGGGAAGAGGCAGGCAGCTCCACAAGGTGACAGATAAGGGTACCTACAACTTCTGACCATGAAATGAACTGACTCTGGCCCACCCTGCTTGGAGTGGACGAGGCATCAGAGACCTCCAAAGAGACCAACCCAGGCTAACGTATCACCGTGTGCCTGCCCACAGCAGGGGATCACATACTTCCTGCTGTCTTATCAATACCTCCATTCGGACCATCACTACTACCATTTTCAGGTGACGACCAAAACACTCTCCACACCTGTACCTCCAGATCAGCCAGCTCGGAAACTCCTCTTTAATAACAGATCGCAATGACTTGCCCAAGGCCACACAGGAGGTGACAGTGCAAAGACTTGAATCGAGATCCACCAGCTCCTCAGTATAGAATTCTTTCTATCAAAACAGCAGTTTCTAACAAGGGTGGCATCAATACCAACAAGTGAGGGGCCTTTCCAGTCTCCCTTGATTTGCCTAGGGGAGGTCCCAGAAGTGAGACATCTGATCAGGCTGGTCTGACTGTGAACCAGCTTAGCAGCTCATCTCAGGCCTAGACACAGCCATGAGCACCTGTGACTGCATCCTTCACACTTCTCGGTGGTGCCCTGAGCTGCCACCCACTCCCTCTCTCCAGTGGCTGAGACAGAGCCTGCACTGGGATCGGTGCCCTCAGTAGGAGCTATTTCACTGCACGGGAAGACAATTTCCCACTTGGGCAACTCGAAAAAAGTCAATCGCCAAGATTCCCCAGTGGGTTTCGGCATCACTAGTGGCTGGTCACCATAAGACAATCAGGAATGAAGCCTTGGGAGGAGCTTCTACCGGGAAACCATGGTGGATTGGTCAACGAAGAATTCTGGTGCGATCGTGTGGCAGCCCCGCGATGATCAGCGGCCCAGCCCACACCATCACCGCACACAAGGAACCCATTGACCACCACACAGAGACGGCTGCTTCTGTGAATTACACAATCTGCCTTCAGTCCTCCAGAGCCTGCGCCAAGGCGTGCCAGAGAACTGGCCCGCTCCGGAGGAGGAGGACACTGTAGGACCCTGCCGGAGGCAGCACGCATGCCCTGGAGGTGAGCAGCACTATCAGTTAAAAGTTCATTAATGGGACTGGTTTGCGCACGTCCCGGCCATATGGCTGTGCAGTAGCCCAAAGCCTGCCTGGAGCACTGTTCACAATCATCTATGAAGCTGGCCCATTCTAAATGTCATCCCCCACCTTATCACATCACCCTGGAAATTGCTCTGGAGAACACCGACGACGCACAGTGGCTTTCAGAGAGAATATGTGAACCAGGGCCCTGTAAACTGACCGCCAATGACGGTCACAGCTGCAGTCTTACCTCTGCCTGTTTTTGGCCTTCCTCTGCCTGTTGGGAGTTTTCCTTAGTAACCACCACAGCATCAACACCTCGACACACAGCATGATGGTTCCCAAGGCATGGTCGTGCACTGAACGTAGGTGCACGTGTGCATGTCTGTGTGATCACGTTTATGCTTATTTCAGCTCTGGGAGGCCAGCTATTGGGCACGATCCCCATTTCCCATAAGTGAACGCCAAGGCCACCCAGTTCACAGCATTCTTACCTCTCACTCTCATCTGCAGCCTTTTCTGCCTCCTCCAGCTTCTGCAGGGCAGTAGCCAGTCGTTCCTGAGCCCTGTCCAACTCCTCCTCGACGAGCTGGATGCGTCGATTGAGAGCGGCCACATCGCCTTCAGCCTGGGGAGGTCAGAGGGGCGGTCAGGTAAAAGGGAAACAGACCAACCAGCAGCGGGAGCTGTTCCATCACACAGTATCCTCTCCCCCAGGTAACACGCTTCCCCTGTCAAAGCCCATCCACGAATCCGGATGGTAGATTTCATGCTCTATCTCATCTGGAAAATGTGAATTTTTCATACAATCTTTCCCCCAAATGTCAGTGAGCATCCACCGCTCAACTAGAAAGGCAAGCGTCCCACAACAGGATGGACGGTCAAGTCAACCCAGGAGAAATCGACGAGTACGCTGTTCTAAGAGGACCTGCTGGCCTCTTCAGACTTGCTGGTCCCTCCATGGGGTTTCTAGGCAGCAAGGCCTCCAGTGACCTGGCTCACCCTGTCATATAAGGTCTGCTTCCTCCCAGCCAGCTGAATGGCAAGATAAATACAAGAATATGGACGCCTTGGGACACGTGGGCCATCCAGTTGGGAGGAGGGGCGGGGGTCACCTGGTCAGAACTCCAGCCTCAACTAAGGCTGGCTGAGAGTTGCTGGGACAAAAAGGTGTCGGAAAGGAAAGAAAACTTGGTTGCTGATAAACGAGAGATGTCTGGATGGTGTTGCTGGCTTTTCAAGGTGTTTTTACCTACAAGTGGTGCGCATAAAAGCAGGAACTCCAGGATCAAAAATGTGCTGAGTCACAATCCCCCGCTCTGCCGGGCTGTAGCCACGTGGCATCGGGTGGGTTGCTTCACTGCTGGCTCTGAGCCTCCCTATCCCAGCACCTGGTTACTTCACACCTCTGCAGGGACAGCAACGGAAGGGTGTGGCATTATACCTGGCATGTGGGATGTCCCACAAAGAACAGCTCTTACTGCTGTGACTTCACCTCTTTTAATCCTCGAGTATCTCACCCATTTTACAGTTGGAGAAACTGAGATCCAGCAAGGCGATGCAGTTTTGTTCAGTGTCACAGAGGGAATGTCCTCTGGAGCCCCAACCCAGGGTTCCTGCCTTGCTGAACCAGCACTCTGGGTCCTGTGGGGGCTTGGAGGCCACTTAGGAATATGGAGAGTTGGTAAAATAGAGATCTACCGACGGGTGAAGTATAAACCCACCCTGGCTTCTTCCTGACAAGACAAATAAAGACTCTCCAAATTGGAGGAGGATGTAAAAATTAGTAGAGTGAAAAAAAAATGAGGCCAGAGTTGCTGAGAAACAGAGTCAGGGAACTTTTCACAGCTCCAGAGTCCGAGTGGCAGAGGGAGAGGAAATACGCACAGGTGTTTCGGATCGCAACTTCCTCTGAAACACCAATGTGGAGAATCCATTTCAACCACCGATGAACTAGTTGCAGAAATATCACCCACACCTTCCAGTGAGTAGGTGCCTTTCATTCTCTTTCAATTACATGAATCTTAGCTCTTTCCACTACGGGGGCAGGAATCAATTCTTTCCCCCCAATAGTTTTTAGTACATTCACAAAATTGTGCAACCCACACCACTGATTCCAAAAAATAGTTTTGTCACTCCTAAAAGAGACCTCATACTCATTAGCAGTCAAGAAATTGACGTTTTAGATCATGCAGAGGTGCATGATTCATGAGTAGCCTTAAAAAAAAAAGCCACTCCTTATGTGAGGGATTTTGAATCCCGACAACATGCTTTTGGCATGTTTTCAATTATCTGGCATCGAAAGAGCTCTGAGATGCATTCATATATGTATGTATATACATATGTATATTTTTTTGAAAAACTGCTAGTCACTGCTAGTCATTTTGGGCTCCTCCCCTTCCTGCAATCAAAGCTTCCACACTCTACAAAGGATTTCCCTTATAAGGTAAAAGAGGCTTGCTAGATACATGTGGCAAAGGAACAGGAAGATGTCCGTTAATCACACAAAAATCTAAACGAAACCAGCTGTCGGGAGGCAGACTCAGAAGTCTGCCACACGCCGGCTCTTGGCTTTCTCTACCAGAGACTGAAAAAGGTTTTTTTTTTTCGCCTCCTCTGGGCTCAATTCCTTTTACCCAGGAAACCTTCTCAAGGCTTTTCCCCTCTCCTGACCAAGAGAAGCACGCTTTGAAAAGTGAACTTTTTAAAGAAGTTTGCGACTTTCCAAAAACATCTTTCCTCCCAACTGGACAGTCCCACTCTTAAGTCTTGGCTGGTGGCTAAGGGCCATTTTTAAGCAGAAGTAATTGTCCTCCAGCGAGATGACTTGGGATGAGATCAGAGGGAGGGTTAGGCCGGTTACGTGTGTGAAAGAGGCCAAACCAGCTACTGTTGGAGGCTTACACCAGGTTTCTGAGGCCTCTTCACGCCAGAGCAGACCTTACAGGATTAAACACTTTGACTCCAGCCAGGCGCAAGGCAGCCCGGAGCTCTTCCCTAGACCTGTCAATACACATGGCAATTCCACCCGCCTGGGCATCCTTTCCATTTCTGGGGGTCCCCACCCTGAGTCTCAATGCTCCAGCTTTCAGGGATCCTGGGCTTCCACCCTCTACCCTAACGAAATTTCTTGCCTCTGCGTCTTTGCACATGATCTCTCGTTCCAGCAAACTCTTAGTTCTTCTGTAAGACCCTGTTCAACCTCCATTTTGAACCTACCCTACCGGCTGGCTGCTTTTGTTAGGATCCCGTAACAGAATACAGAACCCCTCAGGAACACTAATCAGTCTTATTTGTACCCCCTAACTCCCTCCCCCACCCCCACCCCCATGCACACACTAGGCTGTGAGCTCGTCTGGGGTAGAGAAGGGAGAAAAAAGACTAGGAATACTCTTTTTTCTACTATATGCCAGATGCCATGCAGGGAGGTTTTATTCCTGAGACGCCCCCGGCTATCCTGGGGTCAGCATTATTGTCGCCCATACTTTACTGATGGAGACACGCTCCTGGGAGTGAAGTACGAAGTGGTATGAGATAGGATTGGAATACAGACCTCTCTCTGGCCCCACGGGTTGCCACCACCTGTCTGATCCCAAGGGGCAGTCAGGCGACGAAGAGAGGTCAAGCCCCCTCCTCATTCAGCCCCATTATCTGCCTCAAGCCCTGCGACTTGCAGCAGAGGCACACAAAATGATCGTGGGTCAAGGGCCCCGTGCTAAGGTTCCAAGGGTCCCTTAAAAGGAAGGCAGGGTCCCGCGGCCCTTGTTCCCGCCGGGACCAGCTGGGGAGGAAAGGCCGGCGGCTCGGGACTGAACTTCCGTCCCCCGCCTGGAGCAGACACGTCGCCGCCGCGCCCCTGGGAACAGCTGGGAAAGTTCAGCAGGAACCGGGAAGCCTCGGAAGAGGCGAGAAAGTGCG